AAGTATTCAGTTTTGTTCTATTCTTAGCCCCCAGTCTCTTTCATTAGTATACCCCACATTATTGCTCAAAACAGAAAACTGTTGCTAAAAAAGAATAAAACTCTGTCATTTGTGACTACATGGTAGGAATTGAAGGACATTATGATAAGTGAAATAAACCAGGAACGGAAAGTTAAACACTGCTTGTTCTCACTCATATGTAGTAGCTAAAAAAGTTGGTCTCATAGAAATGAAAATTATAACAGAGGACACTGGAGACTGGCAGCAGTGGGGGAAGGGAGGGATAGGAGATAATTTGTTAAAGGATATGAAATTACAGCTAGATATAAGGAATACGTTCTAGTGTTCCATACCACTGTAGTGTGACTATACTTAACAATAATATATTATTTCAAATAGCTAGAATGAGGATATTGAATGTTTACAACACAAGAAAACAGTAAATGTCTGAGATGATAAATATGCTAATTACCCTAATCTGATTACTATGCATTATATGCCTAAAAACATCACTATGTGCTCCAGGATTATGTATAATTATATTTGGCATTATTACTACCTTTTAAACTACAAATATATATACACCATATACACCAATATCGCTCATTTTCTTACTAGTATTTTTTTCTACATGGACAATTGCAATTTCTACCTGCTTCCACATGAGCCCTCCCATGTATTCTTCATCTAAGAATAATATTTAGTAAACTTTTAAACAATCACTTTAAATGATGCCACTCCTATGTACTTGAAATACAGTATGCATCGTCACTGTGGCTTTTATGTTCATTTATGGCTCTTATATCCCATTCACGTTTTCCTGGGTCACACTGCTCCACTTTGAGTAGCTGGCTTTCTCTGAGTTCTTCAAACATCCTCAGCCTTCTCTTACCTCAGAAGTTTTTCCTACTTCATTCTCTATCCAGAATTCCCTCACACATCAAATTGTCAGATTCTTCTTACTAATTAGGCAGCAGATTTAATTTTACCTCTTAAAAAAAGATTTACTGATTACACTACACAGTAGAAAGTAGTTTCCTGGCTCTTGCTATTTTATTAAAAGTGTTCTGATTGCTAAGTTCAGAGCATAGAGAAGGAAATAATATTAGGGATTAGTGTAATAATGTGTTAACCCATTTACTTTCCATTTTCTCCAGTAAATTATAATCTCTATAAGGATAAGTAATATGCTTATTTTATTCCTTGCTTATATCTGATACTACATGTTTAATAATTACATATTTAAATAAATATTAAAAGTAATAAAAATAAAAAAGTAAATTATTTAAATAAATTTTGCATGTGCATGTATCCCATTAATTTCTTCAATAAATATGTATAAAATAAAGATATGTAAAATATAGGTCTCTTTCCCTCTCTCCCACCCATGCTTTCTTCCTTTTGTTAAGTATAATTGATTAATTTGTGGCCTATTTTAGTAATAGTTATCTTTTTATTTTAGAAATAGCAAGCATCTTGATTTTTAAATGTGTATATATATATATATATATATATATATATATATATATATATATATATATACGTTCTAGAATTTAAAATAAACATAACCATTTTATACCTCCAAAGTCAGAACACAAGATCTCAAAAGAGCATTCAGTATATTAGACATTTGGATAATTTTGTTTCTAATTATTTATTTATGTTTTCCCTGACCTAGGCATCTCACAACAAATAAGGATATACCTTTAACCAAAGAGAATGCATCACATCCTCATTTCATGTGAAGACGTTTTTGTAATGCACAGATCTACACTTCATTTCAATTCTTCTATTGGGACATTGAATTGGTAACAATAACCACACCTGCCTTTCCTGTTTTTATTGCATTGCCTTCCTCTTCTCCTTGAGTACATGATTCCTTCCTTTCACAAGTCAGGTCATTTAGTTATAAAGTCAGAGCATGGGCAGAGTGATATTATAAGGAGAAGCAGTAAAATGTTTTAGGATTGGAAAACAGAAATCAACACATAGCTTGGATCTATAGATTTTTTTCTTACCCAGCAAGCCAATGTATTTAAAATATTCTCTTGAATAACAAATTCTTAGTAAATACTATAGCAGACATAAGATCTTAAGCAAAGATATTTTAAGAATAGTGATGTTTTAAAAATTACACTTCTAAAAAATATAAAACTATAAAAAATAATATACAGATAGATCTAGATATTTGCTGTTATTTTGTCTTTCCTCTAAATAAACTAGTAGTGTTCTTTCTATTCATTCATTAAGAACATTCAATGAATAAATACCTTTCATATTGTCCTTCCAGGAAAGCATGAATGATATAATCTATTATTTAAGTAATGATTTTTCCTGAATAACTCGTCTAGTAGTGACTTACTCCAGGAGAAGAATGTAAGCTAGCTGACCCAGGGCTATCTCATCTGTAAATTATAACAACCATTGAACATTTGTCAGTGATTGTATTAGCTGGGTGACTTGCCTTGACTTTTCCTTTTCTATCATTTTTTCTTTTTCAAATTTAGTTTTTGCCTTTTGTCAGTATTTGTTTTCTAATTTGAAAGTTTATTTAGCAAGAACAAAAGACTGACCACCTCTCACACACATAAATTAAAATCTCTAATTAACTTCAAAAAAGGTACAGTACTTTCTCTTTATCTGTGCAAGACATGTTCATTCCAAGATCTCCAGTAAAAGCGTAAAACCACACATAGTATCTAACCCTATATACATTAGAGTTTTCCTATTCTTATATACATATGATAACATTTAATTTTTAAATTAGGCACAGTATGAGATTACAAGTTAATAATAAAATAGAATAATTATAACAATATACTGTAAGAAAAGTTATCACTCTACCTCTCAAAATATCTACTGTAATGTACTCACCTATTTTCAGACCTTGGTTTACTGTGGGTAATAAACCCCAGAAAGCAAAACTTCAGATAATAAGGGACTAACGTAATGGTGAGTTTAAAAATATTCACTGCCTATGCAAATCAAAACCACATTGAGATACCACCTAACACCTGTGAGAATGGCCATCATTAATAAAACAGACAACAACAGATGTTGGCGAGGATGTGGAGAAAAAGGAACACTTCCACACTGCTGGTAAGAATGCAGAGCAGTACAACCTCTTTGGAAGACAGTGTGGTGATTTCTGAAAGAACTAGAAATTGACCTTCCATATGACTCAGCAATTCCCCTATTGGGAAATTACCTGGAGGAACTTAAATTATTCTACAAAAAAGATACCTGCACACATATGTTTATTGCAGCTTTGTTCACAATAGCAAAAACACGGAAACAACCCTGTTGCCCATCGAAGCTGGACTAGATCAAAAAATGTGGTACATATACACAATGGAATATTATGCAGCCATAAAGAAGGACAAATATGTGGACTTTGCAGCAACTTGGATGGATTTGGAGTCGATCATACTCAGTGATTTATCACAGAAACAAAAAACAGTTCCATATGTTCTCACTCATAAGCGGATCTTGAACAATTATAATACTATAAGAAAGAGATTGGCAGTAGTGGAAAACTGTCAGGGGAGAGGGAGTGGGACTGGCAGTTAGGGAAACTGCTCGGGGAGGGAGGGGCATACCTCATCAACAAGGGTACCTGCATGATGGGTGTTTATATACCTAACCCTTAATTGTGCCCCACATCTTTATAATAAATAAATACATTAAAAAATATTCACTGCCATAAGTCAAATTTTTATCTATTGAACAATAAGTATTTTATAAGCACTACTTGGGAGTATATTTTATTTTCCATAATTTAGTCTGTAAATTTAAAATAAATATCCATATTTTGCTGTAGAACATTAAGGACCCAGATATGGCTACATAGTTATTTTCTGGGATATTTTTTTCTTTTTCTTTTCTTTTCTTTTTTTTTTTTTTGAGTTGGAGTCTGACTCTGTCACCCAGGCTGGAGTGCAGTGGCATGCTCACGGCCTCATGGCCACCGCAGTCTCGACCTGCTGGTCTCAGATGATCCTTCTTCCTCAGCCTTCCAAGTAGCTGGAACTGCAGGCACATGCTACCATGCTCGGATAATTTTTTTATTTATTTATTGTAGAGACAAGGTCTCGCCAAGTTGCCCAGGCTGGTCTCGAACCCCTGAGTTCAGGTAATTCTCTCACCTTGGGCTCCCAAAGTACTGGGATTATAGGCTTGAGCCACCATGCCCGGCCTTCTGGGACATTTTTTCATTTAGCAATTCTGAATGATTTCTAAATCTTAATTTATCAAAATAATTGTTTTAAAGAAGGCAAACTTGGAAATCTTAACCATCAGAAGTAAAAATTATTCACCATATGTGTTCATACACATATATTATTCATTTTATTTCGATGCCAAGTAAAGTCTTTTTGTTGATCCAATTAATATTATACATTTTTGTATTGGAGAAAACATTCAATGAAAATAACGCCTAAAAGTGGGATTTCATTTTTCAGTATGGCAGTTGTGTTCTAGAAGGTCATGTTAGGACCCTAAAATCTAAACATATACAAGTAAAATCTAAACATATACTATAAAAATATTTCTGTGTGCCAGAAAAGTAATTTGTTGGAATTCACTGTGTTTTTTAGCAAACACCATAGTCAGGAACAAAGTTTTCTTTCTTTCTTTTTTTTCTTTTTTTAAGTTGGAATTTTACTCTGTTGCCCACGGCCATCACAGCCTGGACCTCCTGGGCTCAGGTGATCCTTCCACCTCCACCTTCCAAGTAGCTGGAACCACAGGCGTGCACTATCACGCCTGGCTAATTTTTTTGATATATTGTAAGGACGAGGTCTTGCCAAGTTGCCCAGTCTCGTCTTGAACACCTGAGTTCAGGCAATCCTCTCACCTTGGCCTCCCAAATTGCTGGAATTACAGGCGTGAGCCACTGCACCCAGCGGTAAGCTTTCAATAAAGGTAATGGTGAAGGGACACATTAAGAAATGCTAGTTAATTAAAATAACGCAAACCACAGTGAAAGAGACTGTCCATACCTGCTGACACATGTGATCCCACTGTGTGTTAAGTTCTCTGAGTTCTGTCTCAAGTCTGGAAGCAAAATCTGGCTCCGCTTCAGTCTTGATCTTCTCCCCACCTTCATTGACACTGTTTAGACTGGGTTGAATTGTCTGAATATCATTGACTAAAAGCTAAGAAAATAATTTAATTTAAGCTGGCTGGAAAAATTACTATCACATAATAGAAATGCAACATAGCTAGGAAATATGTAATTAGGAATCATGGCATTGCATAAATATTTTTTCTTTTAAAATCTGAAATACATGCAGATATAGATTTAAATATCTGTATAACAGTCTTGTAAAAAATGTTCAGTAGTGTTAATGACATGAAGGAAGTAGGGAATTGTTTGTATTCTACTTATATCAGAAACAAAACGAAGTAAATTTAGTATTTCTGGTTAGAAAAATGTGTGAAAATGATGGACTTTATACATTACTATCTTTGAAAGGATTTTGGTTTTCAAACGCTGGATATTGCAGCAATTGTTTACAGCATAATGGGTGTGAAGGCTATTTGTAAGGTGGATTTTCTTTTTTTAGCTTGTATTTGCAAAAAAAAAAGTCTTTAAAGAGCTGGATTATTTTCTTCCTGCTGCATGACAATGGTATAATGAGTATTATTTCAGAAATACATATTGTGTTATATTATAGTACAGTTCATCGGTACATGGAGGGGAAAACAGTATGAATAATAATTTGTAATAAGATATAAGAAGTAGCTCAAAGGACTCCTTACCTTTAAATTATACTGAATTTTATAGTAAAGTAGTCTTATAAAGTGGGTTTTGAGTAAAAGGCAATGTTATGTCCATTTTTCATTTACTTAACTCGGGGTTTCTCAACATTGATACTATTGACATTTTGAACTGTGTAATTCTTTGTTGTGGAGAACTTTTTTATGCACTGTAGGATATTTAGTAGCATCCCTGACCTCTACCCACTATACCCAGTAGTATCTATTCACCACCTTCAAATGTCTCCAGACATTGCAAAATATCCCCTGTGGAAGACAGTTGAAATCACCCATGGTTGCAAACCATTGATCTAACCAAATAATAGTATCCACATAAGAGTCTTCCTATAAAAGGCAGCATATAAAAAAAAATCTTACTCTGCACTGTTTCAGTTGCTTCTTTAGAATTTCTGAATCCCCAAGGGCAGGCCATTCCTCCTTCAGAAAAACATCAACTTCTGCCATCCATTTCCTCAGGGTTTTTATGTGATTCTGAAATAAGAGACCCATTTTAAGGCATTATTGGGGTGATGATTGCTCCTAGCACAATTCATCACAGTGATATGTCTAAACACAAGCTCAAAAACAATTCCCATATTTAAAGTATGTCTCTAAGTAACTCTTCAGGAAAAGAACACTTTACTAAGACTGCATTTTTATGGTCTACTGTATGAGCACTGGTGTATGAAGTCTGCTATTGTTAAAAATAAAAAATTACTACCAAATGTGGTTTTATGATGTTACTCTAGAGAACATTAAATCACATCCCCCTCTAGAGAAATTTTAAGTTACAAAACAACTCATGATAATACTAACAATGTGCCCTTACAGTACATAAAACAAACTATGAACAATAAACTCAATGTAATGGTGTCGTTATAGCCTCCCTAAACCCGAACTTCCACAAATTGTTTTCTGCAGTTGACAGTTTAAATAGTCCCTTCAGTTGGGAACTTTCAGAACAAGGTTTTGTCATCTTTAAAGTGAGAGCTTTTGCTTTTAATTTCTTATTTGTCTGACCAGTTTGAAATAATGACCAAGTGAAAAATGTCATCTTTTATCATTTATAAATAGCTAAGTGCCTCCCGTGAGCCTTTCCTATGTTACCTTTTGTTTCGGCTGCTTTCTCTGCTACTTTTAAATTGTATCATCGTCTCTTCTTCATTTGAGTATAATTCAACTGTGCTGTCTAGATTGTTCTTTTCTCCCATCTTAGTTAAATTTCTATTGAAATATGTGCTCCATAGAAAGTTTCCCCTTCAATATGATTATTAATAAGATTTTTTAAAAGGGATTTGACTAGTGGTTTCTTTTATCCATGCCAGCTTTGGCCTGTCGCCCTGCCCTGTCTTTCCTCTCTTCTTTTTCTCATAAACTTTGTTTGGAAAAAAAAAAAAACATTTGACTAAATCTGAGGACTTCAACATTATCACCTTGTTGATCTCTTTCAAGTCTACTTTTGCTCTTATTCTACATTTGCACAGCCCTTGTTCAGGTCTTTATATTGACTCCTTCATTATTGCATTAGTTCATTTTGGTATCTGCCTCAGTCTTACTGCATTCTTCTTTTTTAAATGCTTTTTATTTTAAAGACATGGAATACAATTCAGTATTATGTATACATGTCGTCATTGCAGAGGTAAAGTTTATGCTTCCCTTTGGTTCACACTTTCCCCTGTTTGAGATCTTACTGCATTCTAATTATTTCTCCACAATGATTTATCCTCTCCTTCTTCCTCTTTTCATGAAGACACAAATATAATGGTATCTTTCCCTTCTTAAATTCTAGTAACAATATAATATATATTATGGTTGTTATTACTTCCATCACAATTTGGTTAAAATTTATATTCCAAAATGTAGCATCCAAGACCATTTGCTACCTGCTCCCAAACCATTTTTCCAACCATATATTTTATCAATACTCAAACATAGATATTGCCTCCCCAATATTGAAGTTCTTCCAGTTCATTGAACATACTGTTCCACTTTGTCAGGAATGCTTTCTTCCTCCTTATTTGCTGACTAGATTCTACTTATTCAATGTATAGCTGAGATAACCTATCTTCCAAGAACATTTCATGACCCTTTTTCCTTGTTTATGTTGACTTTTGTTCCTGCTTATTGTAAAAACTTTTACCATAGTGTGTAATTTACTTACTCTACTAGGCTGAATAATCATCTCCCCATATATTCATATCTTAATCCCTGGAATCTGTGAGTATGTTCTCTAACATGATAAAAATAACTTTGCAGAAGTGAGTAAATTAAAGATGTTGAGAGGGGAGATTATCCTGGATTATCTGGCTAGGCACAGTGTAACCACAAAGGTTCTTATTAAGAGTGAGACACAACAGAAAAGGGGTAGGTAAAGGGAGAGGAAACAGGAGAGGGAAGAGAGAGGAGGAGGAGAGGAGACACAGTAAAAGTGGGAAGAGGGGAACAGAGGAAAGGAGGAATGGGGCAGAAAGAGAGGAAGG